CCTATTACCACCTACTACTACATTACTACTACTACTACTACTACTACTACTACTACTACTACTACTACTACTACTACTACTAGTACTACTAGTACTGCTACTGCTGCTGCTGCTGCTGCTGCTGCTGCTGCTGCTACTACTACTACTACTACTACTACTACTACTACTACTACTTTTACTACTACTACTAGTACTGCTGCTACTACTGCTACTTCGACTTCCACTTCCACTTCCACTTCCACTTCTACTTCTACTGCTGCTGCCTTCGTGATTGCCTCGTGTTGCATATTAGTGGTGTCTAGGTTCCCTGCACACAGCCTTCAAACTCAAATAACAACTTTCCCTATAGCTGATGCAACGTTGGAGGTTCAGTAGGACAGTGACGGCACTGCATGCAGTGATCAGCGGCGGACTGGTGACGGAGCAACCCAGTCTTCCAAGAAGTCATTGTTTGTACAGCGGCGCCTGGTTGAAATACGCTGCTGCGCATGACTCTGTGCATCTACGGCTGGTTCAAGCAAGGTGTGCGGACCCCTCACAGCGCCACCGTAAGCGATGGCTGGGATTACCACTTTGTCGATCTGTAACCGGCTGCTAAAGTACATCATGGAGTAGAGGAAAACCTCGTGCAAATGAGGCATCACGGCAAAAAGCGATTTCAACTGTAAATTGTTCTGTCGAACGTGCCCTGCAAAGACCATGAACTGCTGCGAATGCCCTGCCCTTGGTTGCAGGCGTAGACAGCAGAGGAGCCACTCGCCAAAAAGGACCTCTTCAGCTTCGTCGATCTTTGACTTTTGCTACAATTAGTTCCTGACCGAGGGCTTGAGGGTTCCAGGATTTGCGGGATGAAGGCCGAATAACCATCCAGGTCGAGCGAGCTCAGGGTTTGAGCTGTTGGAAAACGGGGAGGGGGGGTGGATTGTCGTACTGTTTTTTTAATATGCCAAGGTTCCGAGTTCGGTAATGACCGCAGCTCGAGTAAAACTCCGGAAACAAGAGACAATTTTGGGCGCATACAGTCCCACTGCTCAGTGGCGCCAAGCTGTGGGTCATGCGGGCTTGCATTGCAAGGTATTCTCTACCAAATCGTAAGTGCTCCGTCTGAAAAAGCGAGACTTTAGACAAGTTGAACTCCTTCGACCTGGTGACATGTACAGAGCCACTATCAGCCCCCACTATCAGCCCCCACACCAGCACTTGTACAAAAGCACAATGTGCTACCGTATCACTCCTGGCGAATGAGATTTCCCATGAACAGCAACAAAGCAGGCCGATTATTCCATGCATGCTGCCGGGCAAGCTTTAACATCACAGTTCGGCTTTGGCGAATGTCAACAGCCCATGCCTCCACCACCAGTTGTAATTTTCGGCCGTTAGCTGAAAGTACGTCAGCCTCGGATATGTCAACTGCCCGGGACCAAACACATTTTCCGCCGAAGACAAAGTCTAAGCTCGTCTCTTCAACCGTAAGTCTCACGCGCGATAGAGATCTCTGCACAGGTGATCAACAGAATGACAAGCACCTGCACTGATAGAACAGCTCTTCGAGTTCACGTGACGTGTAGCCTGACACTGCCGTCCTCTCCTGCTTCACATCTGCATAATGGCATGAACTGTTTATATCCTTACGCGCATCTAATCCATTCTCGTCTCCACTTCATGGCACAGCTCTCAGCGGGGGCAATACGAGCAGCACTAGGTGGCACCAGGGCCAGGAAACCAAAGAGGTAGTAGAACTGATGTTGCCACAGCGACGACCTTGGATGGGCCCAGCTACTTGTACAGCTTCTTCTCGCATCGTCTATGCAACCGAAAGATTTGCGGAATTGCACGGTCGCCCAAGCTAAACCGGCGCTGATGTTACTCATGCTGCTTTGCCGCATGATGAAAAAGAGCTCCGTGAAGACGGCGCCGAAGGGCAGGATGCCGCCAATCGCACACCTGAGCAACTTCAGAGTAGAGACGAGCCCGGCCCGGGTCAGTACCAAGGTCGCAGCGTGAAGAGTGGCTGCATGAACCAGGCCTGCGCCGGAATCTGCCTCCATGGGCAACTTTTAATCACATCGGCACCTTCCCTTCGTTTGGGGAGTTTGGGTGTTCCGTTGGAAAGGTCGTCAATGTCCCAGCAGAGCTTGCAGCATGCGAAGGAGTCCCCTGGCATGGCTTCAGAGACTGCTGCATTACTCTAGCGTCCAAGAGAGGGTTCCAGCACGGCGGTGCAGCAACCAAAATGGAACGCTCCACACAAGACCGTCGTTGCGCCCTGTCGTGTGGAACTTTGCTCAAGGGTCAGCAAGTCTTGCGATTTCCCGGTCTTTGCTTCGACCCGAGCGCAGGCAAGATGGCTCCAGCTCGCAAAGTGGCGTAGTGGAAATACATGAAGGGTATCCGAGGATCAGGTGTAAACTGAACAGGAGTGACGACAGCACCATGCTCATCCTCCCTGTGGGCATGCAGCCACCACCCTCCCGAAGAATACACAGCATGAGTGATTTCATGAGAGCCTCCCTCCGTTCCCTGAATCCTGAAATCGAAAGGAATTCGGAAATGTTTGCACGGCAATGCATAATCCCCGAAACATGCTTGCCTGGCATCCAGCAGAGAGAAGCAACCGTCTTTTGATCGCGAAGGGCCCTTGCATGTGAGTTCACGGCCCGCAGCCTTGTGCTTTGAGAACGACCAGGGGGCAGCAAAGAGGGACCCGAGAAGCGCTAGATTCGACGCCTCGATGATGCGCCACTTCCGACTGACATTGCAAGCCCGGCCCTTCAGACGGGACAATGAGTTGGGTATTGAAGTACTTGCAGCATCTTGCAGCTGCCAGGCTGAACTCAAGTGAGACGCCGAAGCTCACTGCGGCTGTGAAACGGAACTCGAGCGCTCACCCAGAGTTCCCCGATGCCCGTGGGATCCCGCGACCTCTGCAAGCCTGGTTCCTTCTTCAAAGACCAGCACAGGAAACAGTCTGGGGAGAAACGGCCGGGTCTACGTGGAAGCCTGCGAGGTGCACCCATATTAGTGCTCTCCGCAGCATTTCAGGACTTGATGCGCAAGGCCGAGGCAATCGTGACGATGGAACCATGAACATCTTCGTGTAGCTGCGGGCTCGCGCCCTGCGTCCTGCCCTGGCAGCAGACGCGGACCATTCTCGCATCTGCTAGTCGGCAGAGGTTTCCCGCTGCATTGCGGGGTACATACCGGGAGGTGAAACTCGTCAGTGAAGATTATTCACATCGGGCTTCGGATGTCGGAGCTGCTCGAACTGGCTGAGAATGCTTCTTTTCTGATCCAGACAAAGTCCCAGCAACTTCAGTCATAAGTGAAGCGGCGAAGCCTCCAAGCCGAAGAATGCATTCTTCGATGCTTCTCAGATGGAGATCTTCTTCCTGCCGAGCTCGAGTAAGAACCCAAGTTGTGTACATGTCAGCTCCAGCCGCGAAGTTTCCTATGTCCCTTCCGCCTTGCAAGCTCTGCCCAGTACTTCTCGGGGACGCCGCTCTTCTTGAGCTCCTCGATCTTGCCTGATTCTCACACGCTCGGGTCACTGAAGACTCATCATGACACTGCACTTCCGCACATGCCCACGCTATGTAGGCAAGGCACGAGCTTTGATCTTTTCTAACCTGGGCACGGGGGTAGCCCTGTCCCAAGATCTGCTACCCAGTAACACACTTCTGCGTGAGACGGTCTGGAGACCGTTATTGGGACCGTGCTTCCGAAAGGGTGTCAAGTGCCTGTTGAGTTTCTCCTTGTTTTGTGTGTCTCTCCAGGTTTTGCAGGAGGCTGCGAGGGCTCGGCACTTCGTGACTCCTGTGCACCAACGCCTAATATATGGTTGGGCTGCACCATCCTGATGTCAAAGAGATTGAACGTTGCGATCTGCGGTGAAGGCACACTGTTGGCTACAGACTGACACGTGGTGAGGCTTGATTTGGATTTTCGTTGCGAGCAACTTCTTGCGCTCGTTGCCGATGGATGCTCGTACGGAGTTCCCCTCTTCAAGGAAGTCACGTCGCTCCTGCAAAGCCGTGGAAGGGAAACACTGCATATTGTCGGTGAATATGATACTTGAGCACTGGCAACGAAGCAGCTAACCTAATCTCTCCTAACGGAGCCCATGCCCTGCAGCCAGTACATTCCCTGTGCCGCGGACGGTCCTGGTAAGCTTTTTCTTCTCGTGCCGAGATCTGATGTCGGAGCTCCTGTGCGATTGTCGGCTCATCGAACAGTAGAATTTGGAATAAAGTCCCAGAACCACCACTGGCACAAAAGCAGACACTCTGCAAGCATACGCAGTATCAAACCGGAAAGCTTTCCTGAGCGTGCTGGAGGCGCATGTGGTGCTCCTGACAAGTCTTCAGGCTCATGGCAAGACGACTACGATATATCGAAGAGCAGCCTCACCAGAGCATGGGAACAGATTGCATTTTCAGGCCTCACCCTGTCGTTGTCTTTCAGCCTCCTCCTGCTGCATCTGCACCTTCCCCCCGCATGCGGATGCAACCCTCTATGGGCATGAGCAGTCTCAGGCATATATGGTTAACCATATATGGGTGGCCGTAGGCCTCGATGATGCGCTCGAACTCGTCGCGCTCGAACTTCGCCTGCAATGTCACAGCGTCGGACTCACCATCGGCACGCTGGCAGTGCTTCTGACTCCTACGGACTCCTACATCTCGTGCCGGAACTGTAGCCAGCCAAAGCACCTGGCCTGCTCGCCCAAGCGACGCTCCTTCTCTGCCTGCTGCTGGAAGCGCGCCTGGGGCGAAAAACTGCTGCAAGCGCGTGTCGAAGCTGCCCTGCGGCCTCTTTGAGATCGGCGTTCATGCGATCCTGGCATGGAAGCAACACCAACCTGGACCAACCCTGTGCGAAATGCGGAGGCCAGTGCCTGCTTTTGCTTCTCTGCTGCCTCCTTCTGGCGTGCAGCCCTCTCAGCTGCCTCCATGGCTCCTGATAACGACGCGGCACACGAAGTTTGATGCATCGCTCAACACTGTTCATGACGTCGAAAAGCTTGACTGGCCAGATGCTGTCTGGGGACTCTTTGCCCGGAGTGCATCCATTTCTGCTGCCTTGTCCTGAGCCTTCTCCTGCCTGGCACAAGCTGCACAAGGGCTAAGAAGCGGAAAGCTGGCGCGACTCCGACTCGCGCTCGGGCTCCGACATTGCCCTCAGCCTGGCGGTTTCTCTCTCCTGATCGGAAGTGGAAGCGGCTTGCCGGTCCCTTCAAGCATCGCCCTCCATCCCCTCCTCTCCTCTTGTCTTCTCTCCCCTCTTCTTTGGACGCGGTGCCAGCACTTTGTACATCTCTGCACACTCCAACTGCCAGTTAATTTCGTCTGCGTATTTCGTTGCCGTGATTCCGTCCGCGTGTTCCTCTATCCTGCCTGCCACTCCCCTGCACCCTCAAGGAATGCAAACCACATTAGCACTCGACGCTACAAGTCATGCAGGCGTTCAGGCGAGTCATGCTCGTAAAGTCTAGCACCGGAATCCAACACTCTTTGTTTGCTCTCCGCTTCGCTCCTTTACGACGGGCGGTAACGACGCACGTAAGTAGTCAAGCTCGTCCCCGTGATTGGGGCCCCGGATTCGCGCTGTTCCGTCACCTCGCCTTATCGGCGGCCAGCCGGGACTTCTCGGCCTCAAGGTCGCGCTCGCGCTGCTCCTTTCCAGAAGATTTGCAGGCCATGAGGGTGCCACAGGAAAGGGAGAGGAGATTCTGGGGCGTGGTGCGCGTGGCGCCGTGCAGACCGGCGTCCTTGGCCTCCTGGTATTCGATGATCTTCCTGAACACAGCCGTGCCATGATGTCACATGCCTTCTGCGAACATGAGCCATGAGACTGCCAGGTGAGAGCCGAGTTTCTGCTCTTCAAGCTTCTCAGCGAGCATGCGCTCCTCGGCAGCAACGAGAAGTCTCCAGGTAGCTACCAGCAGGTGGCTGCCAGGTGCTGCGTGGTGTTGATCTAGAATCTAGTAGCGGCAGCATGTCGGTACATCGTGACACGCGCCTTCATGCGCTTAACCTGTCACATCAGAGCTCAAGCAATCCAAATTCTGAACTCTAACGTCTGTCCATAGTATACCACCTCACTCTCGTATTTTGCGAAGGAAGTGATATCCACCATCTCGGAAGGCCACCTCTTTGATTTTCATGGCGGCTCCATTGGCTTCATTGACCTGTGCGAAGCTCGCGTGCGGGTAGATGCGGGTAGTAAATCACAACACCCTTTGACCAGATATGCATGTCGGCGTTTCATCGCGGATCGACGCCTACCGCCAAGAGAGCATCCCTAGACCAAATTCAATGACCTGCCTCCTGCATGAGCCGTTCAGCCGCCAGCTTCTTCTGCTGCCTTCAGTCATGCCCAGTGTAACGTCCAGAATCAGAGTTGTGATCTGCACCGAGCTTACCGTCCGGACATGGGCCCTAAAAACTGCTCAAAGCGTCAATAGGAGCTTGTGCAGCCAGGGCGCTGCTGCTCTACCTCCTCAGCCTTGAGAGACTCGATCTGCTTCAGCACAAAGGATCGCTCCTTTCAGGCCGTCGTCGCGATGCAAACGGGCATGAGAAGTGCAGGACACACGCGGTCATGGTAATGACTGGATTCTACAATACCCGCCTGGTCTCTGCTCTCCTCCTCCTTCATTCGCTGTGCTTGTCGATCCTGTCAGAGCTCACAGTTGACTGGAAGCCGGAAGCATTTACACTCGGGTGAGGCACGGCATGTCCTTGATCTGCTCAATGATCACCTTGGCACCGGCCCGCTGCGACTGCATCCGCTCCTGCAGTGCGCTAGCATTGCATATAGTCTTTTCGGGATCGTCCCTCCTGAGCCAGTCTGCCTGCAAGCCTTCAAACACCCAGCAACGGCAGCGCCCAGGTTGCACTAGGTCCTGCTCTCGAACCTCGTACATTTTCAGAGCCTGGCGCCAGCAACAAAAACACCGGCAAGTCCTTTCATGAGCACAGTCGACTGAAGCCTTGAGGCGCTCTATCTCCATCATGGCATCGAGGTGTCGCTCCTGGAGATTGCAGAGACTGCACTTGGTTCTCATGGAGGGACCTGGCTGAACCATTCCAACCATCATTCAACTCATAAACCTTTCTGCTTCCATGCTGAATCCTTCAAGCCTTCAAGCCCTGCAGCACTGCAAGACATTGCTTTAGAATCTTAGAAGCCACCAGCAATAAGCACTAAAGGAGCCACCACTGCGGATAGCCGCTGTGAAACGCACAACAAGTGCCCGCAGGCCTCTTCCTCCTTCTCGGCTTGAACCATGCGCCTTGGCAAAACCGCCGCGGGCAAAACCGGTCCGGCATGGCTGCTTTTGAGCTTCAGCGCATTTTGGGCTTCAGCAAAAGCACACTGACATGAAGATGTGAGATCGGGTCAGGTTGGCTTCTGTGGGTGTCTGCAGCCACGGCGCTTCTCTTGAATCTGCGCATCACGGATAGTCACTATCTTGGAGTAGAGCATCATCTGGTTCATGTGCTTGACCTGCTGCATCAAGGTTGTATCAGTGACAGGTGAGGCTCGAATGTACAACTAGCAGGTAGCGAGATGTGAGCGGCACGACTCGAAACTTAGGTAACATGCAAATTATGCGATTTTGCAGTCAGCCACTGAACGTACAAAACGGCTCGCCAGGAAAACAGAAGGCTTTCTTGTATGCAGCCCTCCAGCTCCACAGGCGTTTGCCATTGCTTTCGGAACTGGCTCGTGTGGCTTTTGGATGCTTCCCCTCTGCTTTTCCGAACTGCTTCTCCGTGCTTCGCATATTTTTGGTGCTGCCAGGCCACGTCGTCCATGTCCTCGTCCAGCATCTGCCTGAGAGCTGCACATGGCGAGGAGGCTTCCTAGCTCGGGTCTGTCATGTTTGGGATGACGGCCTTCAGGATCCTCCTTTCAAAGGGCCAAACACCACTTTTCTGAATTCAGCCGAGGTGCTTGGCCCGCTCCAGCACTCCACCTTTGGCTCCTCGAGCATCCTTCAAGGGCATCGGTGGATTGGGATGTGGGCAAGTGAACCATGGCACCTGTCCCTGAGATCTGCTGCAGCTGATCGCTAGGAAACCGAAGTCACTGGCCTTGGCCGTCTCAGCTTGAATGGCATTTCTCTTTCGCTCCTCCTCCATTTGCCTGCAACTTAGGCAAAGTCGCGAGACTACATTTACTGGCACTCTCCTGAATGTCTCAGTATCTCGTACTCAGAGGTTAAAAGACTCGCGAACAAAAACAAAAACTGCAAGCTGCAGTGAGCGTAATGCCATCCTCAGACTACCGAAACCCTGACATGCCTGATCTTCTCCTTTCTCGCGATGGACTTCGCTTGGCGCTCGGCCAAGGCCTAGGTACAAAAGGATGTCGCGAGCACCTGGCTCCTCTTCTCCTCTCTCGTACTGGCTGCGAGAGCATCAGGAAACGTCCGTGCCGTGGCCCAGACCTCCTCCTCGCGCTTCTTCTGCTCGATTTCCTGATGATGCAGCGGCTTGTGCGGACAGCCGCAGGTCCCGCGGCATTTGCAAGCGGAGATAGCAAGCACACTTAAAGCGCCGGCCGGACTCACATGAACGTCCAAAGCACTGCATTCATCTGTTCCTACATATCGAGCAGTCCTCTTCCTTGCTGAGGAGTTTTGCATTCTCACCTCGGTTTCCCCGGGCGATTTCACCCTACACCCACTCACAACATCATCGGCAAGGCTTACCAACAGCAGCCGGGGAGCGCAAGCGGTTGAGCTCAGATGCCGCGATGACAACGGCTTGCTCCTATGTTGCTGGCAGGCGCTGGCGGTGCCCTAAGCAGCGACAAAGGCCCGGAATGATTTTTATGATCTCGCCAACTCTCAACGAGCGCTCCCAAGAAGCGAAATGTAGATAAAAAAACCGCAATGTTAGCATGTGTTGGACCCAACGTCCTTGGGGTTGGCTTTCGCATTATGCCTGCCCGAGCAATCATGGCTGGAGATTTATGAGAATTGCCGCAAAATGGCGATGGCTCCCTACCCCAACCAAGCAAGTATCCGAACAACCTGCACTGAGGGATTGGACAAACTCGCGGAGGGGGCAGGAGCTTCTGATGAAATTCATCCAGGCTCAAATTGCAAAGTTCCTGCCACACTCGCAATCATCCGAAGTGTTGCACAACTTGTGCCCTTGAACATTACGTTGTCCACGTATCGCCTCCCTTGGTCGGTACCGACGAAACACGTAGACCCGTGCAGGCGTGTAGATGCAAAACAGAGGCTCAAGGCTGGCCTGTCATACCTTTTTCGAACCATGACCGTGTCCTTGCCAACGATCATGACTTCCTGCCAAACTCAAGCTTTGTCAACATGATGGTAGTGCCATGCTGAAGCAATAGATGATCATAAACACACTCAGCGTCTAGGAGGGCTGTGTCGGGAGGTGTAGCAATTCAAGCAAAGTCCTTGCCATCACCTTGCTTGGGCATGGTCTTGTTGTGAGCCTCCAGGAAGTGTCCATGCTCAGCCGATGCTTGTTTACAAGAGCATGCCATTGAGGGCAGGCTCGGAGAAAAACAAATGCATTCAGCTGAGAGGCATTTCCGAACAGCGTTTCGTCGATGTCGGCATTTGTGTTTAGTGTGCCTGGGTCTCAAGACAGCCGTGTCAATGCAAGCAAAAGGACCCGCATCTTCCTTGCTTGTGCCAACCGGGTTGCGATACCGATTGGATTGGCTTTTCAAGCTGCCAATCGATTGGGCAGCTGTTGAGCCCGGCATCTTGTCAAGTCCTCAAGGCTGCAGCCAACACAGTACTTCACTAAATTCCTGTTCAGGCAAGTTTGCGCAGCCCGACGAACTCTGAGGAAGCATCCGAACCGCAAATGGCGCCACTTAACCTTGGCTTTGTCACGATCAGCAGCGGTATCCGAAGCACGAAGGGCAATGATAAGACGGCTGCGCGGATCGCGCTGCGACCGAGCGGCTCCCTTCTCGGCTTCGCTTTGGCCCAATGAGGGGCAAAAGGGACAACGGCAAAGGACCGAGCCCAGCTTCGGACACGCGATTCTGCTGCGACCGGCTGCGAGTGGACTGCTAGAAGCATGGGAGGCTCAGGCGGAGCCAATGTGGGAAGAAACGATTCTGCAAATACAATCACCGATCGTCCTCCTGTGCTCAATGCATCTGCTTGCTCTGCGACTTCGGATACCCTAAAGGCCTGGCCTCGGCACGTGGTTCGTTCGCACTGGCAGCTCGATGGCCTGCCCGCGATTTACGTCAGATGCCCTGCCGCCCTTCCCAAGCTCAGAATGTCTGCCAGCAGGAGTCATCCTTTTGCCAGCAGCGGAAGGCTAGGCTAAAGAACTGACAAGACATTGCACTGGCAAAACAACGCTTTCCGCAAGCTTGCAGGGCTGTCGCTCACCCGCACTGTCATCTCTGGGGCAGTTGAAGATTTGGCGTCTTCTGGAAGTACCAGCACACCAAGCCAGGTAACGCTGTTGAGCGGCATGAGAAGTTCAAGCCGAAAAGATTGAGCCTCGGCCTCGTACTGCTTGGCATTCGCTGTGGGTCATGTGGGTCAGTCTCACGCACCGTGCCCATCAGAAAGAGGTGAGGACTTCAATATCGGTCCTCATCGTTTACGCAGCTGTACCCCAGCACAAAATGCACGCGGCCCAGGCCATATTCTTTCCTGAAATGCGGACAGGGGCAAACGGCAGCACATATCAACAGATGAGCCTGGGCCTTGGAAATACATAGTAATGCCAAAGCCGGGTGTCACGGACATCTCTGCCTCCACGACATCCGTGCCAGGCTTTGTGGCCAGCAGCTCGCGACGTCTTTCCTGGCATACCTCAAATGCCCATGATGCCCACGACAGAACTTCTGACAGCTGCAGGAACACGCACACAAGCAACACTTTGTCTGGGCTGCACTGTCGTGTTTCTCCCGGAGTTTGATGATGTCTCGCACCGTAAGGTTCTCTTCCGGAATGAAGTCCTGCCCAGGTCGCTCCCACTGAGTTCAGGCGAAACTTTAATCGACTCCATTTCGCACCTCCAGTACATTGGGCACCAAGGAGCCCTCCGGCACGGTGAAAACCACTTCAACCCCGGCGTGGACCTTGGAGGTGTCGAGCTGCGGCGACGTGTCGCGCATGGTTCCGATCCGAAGCACTTCAGCTGCAGTCTGGGTGCCACCGGAGTCTTGGGAGTGACCTGCATAGCCTTCTTTGCAGGGCCCCGCGGGGATGAGAACTGAGCAGGTGCTGCCACTGTCTCAAATGGCCAGGGAACGGTTGGATAGCCTCAAGAAGCTGGTCAATTCGCGGTTACCTCTACATGCCATCTGCCGTTGTCGGAAAAGCTAATCAAGGCACCTTCCAAATGCCCGGGTCCACCAAACCAGCATGCAACGCTCGCCAGTCTAGATGCCACCTGTGCGTGGAAACGTGCCACCTGCAAACGAAAAACTCAACTTCGGCCTTCAGCGCCATCGTCTCCAGCTCCGGAACCGGCACTGCGTCGAACGGGTCACCCACCAGGCCCACGATCTCCCTCAGCACTAGGACATGTCAAGACATGGCAGCATGAAGGCGTCAATGATGTCGGACACAGAACTCAGGGACGGAACGCATGTCGTCCAGTCTAGCGACAGCAGGCCGGTGGTGGAGATGGCGACAGCCGTCAGGGTGCTGCCTTCCGGTGCCGCGTCGATTTTGGCAAGAGGCTGACCATCAGCAGTTAGGAGCCTCACTCACTGCGCTGCATCTTACTGGTGCTCATGCTTTGTGCAGGCGAAGTGATGCGGGCCGAGGCGCCTGCATGCACTCGTGCTCATTTTGGTGGCTGTGAGCTCCCTCAACTCATCGAGGGACGACACTTCCACTGCTTCTATTAGGGTCTTCCCACTCATCCCAACGACTGTGAAGGTACGGCGCAAAGGCTCCGCATCGGGCACTCCGGCCATGCACCAGGAACATGGAATACCCGGGAATGCCCGGGAAGCCCTACTCTGATGGACAACACTCCTGTTAAGCCCAGCGGTGCGGAAAGGCAATGCAAGACTCACACTGTCAACCTGGCAGCGCATGGCACAACCCGCACACCCCAGCGCAAAACCTGCCTCGCGCCGAAAACCAAAATAGGAGCCCAAGAAGACTAGGGGCACCTCACCAAAGAGCACAAGTCGCAGAAATACCGTACAAGAACCAGGCATATCCTCTGCTACGAAGTGGCTCTGACATGAAGGCACGCTCTGCTGCTGGCATTGGACTTACGTAGGCGACTGGCGGAGATGCCGAACCAAAGAACCAGAATTGCGAACATCGTCGTGAATGGGACTGCCCCTGAGTCGCACAGGACAAAATCAGAGACGCAGAACCGGGGACATCTGAGGGATGAGAGCTTTTGCTCATGGCGTCTGAGCCGCCAACCTGACGACTTCTGCCCCCAAATGAAAAGGTTGAGCACAAAGAAGACCATGAAGATAACCCTAAAGCAGGGTGATGCTTCGTTCCAGATTATGACCAACTTTCGTGTTTCACATTACCCGCACAACTCGCTTCGCAAAGGGGAAACGTCGTCCGGTGGCATCAAGCTACAAGCTGGAACAGTAGTTCTGTGAGGCTGCTTCAGTCAAGTCGCCCAGGATAGAGCATGGCGGTCATCAACGTGTTGGTCTTCCAATCCTCACCATTGAAAACCTGCTCGGCAGTGTATGGCAGCTTCAGCCTCACCCCTGCAAATCTGACCAGACACGTTTTAGTGGAGATGGTCTGCTTTTCGCAGAGCTGGAATCTGAAGTTCGTGGCAGCATGGAACAAACGGGACCATCCCGTACAATAAGTAATGGCATGTCGGGAAGATGCACACAATGCATTGAACAGGCCTTGTAGAGCCGTGCCTCGTCACAGGCATCACACTGAACTAGCCAGGCTGAGAATACACCAGACACAAAGCGACATGCGGCACGTGAGCACTTGAAGGCACGTGTCTCACGGTTCTCAGATCCGTGCCGAGGCATACCCACCGAACACCTCAGCTGGTTCTCAAATTCCTGCTCCTGCTCGTTTCTGGCTTTCGCAGATGCCCTGAAACGGGTGGGTCATGGTGGATCGACTCGAAGTGCGGTTCAGCCACTCCCATGAAGGTGAACAGCATCATCATCGACTGTAGCAGGCCGCCCCTGCACAGCACAGTCGGCAACCCGGGTCGTGTAAGCAGGGCTAGACGGCATCCCCTAATTTCAGCTCCCTGTCGCTCTGGAAGCTCGGAGCCTATGTGCCGGCGACAGAAAGCCCAGAAGCGCGAAGATGAGCGTCACGATGGACATGCCCAATATCTGCACCTGGGAAGCCATGCAATCTTCTATCAGCAAACCCGCAAAGGAACAGGGCAGATCTAGATCTCGCTCCGTTTTCCTTCTCGCCGGACCATGACAACGACACAGCACAGTGTGACATGTTGGCAGCCTGTCCCACGCCCGCGCGAGAAGCCCATCACCGGTGTCACTTCAAGTTGGCGCATGCGGCTGGTCTGAAGCTGCGTCGGCTTCCAGCTAATGCTCCTCACCCACGTCTTTCGACTGCAGCTTGGGCAGCACCACCATGTGTTCCTCGAGCTTGCCCGCGTCACTGAACTGCGAAGTGGAGAACAGTGACTGTGCCTTTCCTTCGCCTAAACCACTGAGAAATTGCTAGATCCTGTCACTAACTTGTCGATGCTTGATTGGATGGGTGGCCCCAGCCTTTCGTCTTTTCAGAGAGGTTGTCTTCAGTCAAGCACTCCTGCAAGATGATACCTTCAGGCTCCTCGGCCAATGCGTCGGCTGGCACGGCCGAGGAGACCTTGGCCATGCCAGGCCATGCTACCAGTAGCCTTCCGCTTCGTTATTGTACCTCAGCGACGAGATGAACCGCAAAGAGCTCAGGTCTTCGAAGCCACTAGCAGGCACGACCCGGTGCCATCCATACATGTCCAAGCCACACGTCGTGGAAGACTTCGAAATGGACCAACTCGGCAGTGTATTCACGTAGCCTTTCTGTGGCTACGCCGTGGCTATGATCCGTTCAGACGAGCATGCTTGGATCGATGGCCTATTCCCTGTGCCTGCGAGTTCTCATCGGGCCATGCTCCCGTAAGTTTACATAAACTTCCAAGTGGCATGATGAGGGCATCGACTGTGTCTGCCTGGGATCGCCTTGCCAGGAGCTCTTCCCGATGAGCATCGCACGCACGCTGGTGTGCACGTCCTTGGATACAGTACCAGCTTGGCCCTGCTTGTCAGTACTTCTCTCAAGTAGAGAGATAGCATGAAACCAAAAAACGTGTGCCCTCCGCAGATCCCTAAGTGGCCTCGGCAGGAGTGCGAAAAGCGATCTATCAACTTTTGCTACTGCAACGATGGCTTCGGATGTCCACGATGTCTTGGACTGCAAGGCTGTGGAGCGTCACGAAGTCCCGAGCAGCTTCAGATGATGGAGAACCTTCTCGGACGCTGACGATGACTCGCACCCCGGGGGGCACAATCAGACTCCCGAAATCCACCCTCATGTGTTGTCTCGCACCGTCGCGCCCAATCCGTGTGGCAGAGAAATGTGCTCGCGGCGCAGCAAGAACATCGTCCCAGTCCCAGGCAACCTCAGGGCTGTGGAGGACCCAACCCCAGCCCTTCCTCCCATCTTTACCCGCTTCAATGCTGCTGTGAGGCTGTGGGGTAGCCACAAAGATGGCCTGGTCCCATGAACCAGCAGGCCGTCTCCGCCAAGCGCACGGCCACCTGAAGAGCCACATCCTCGAGATCCTCCAGGCGCAGCGGGCAGCGGTACCACTCGAGCCATTGAGACAAAGTGCTGGGAGGGAGTCCTTCATCGAACAAACATCACCGGCCAGATTCCCATTTTCGTCTTCAAGTCCTGCCATCTGCAACAACCTTGGCTGCAAGGGCGACTTTGCACAGCTGTTTAGGAAGATGCGGGCCGCATGGAATGTCGGTGTTTAAACCGAAGGCATCCAGGTGTTTGCTGAAGAGCGGGTGGACGTTCTTGGCCACGGCGGTCAACGGCTCTCCAGAAATTTGCTCGAGCTCTGTCACCAACTCGCCATCAGCCGTCAAGATGCAGCAGCTCCTGGATTTGAGCTTTGCCTGAACCTGTGCCGGGAGCAGACTGTTCCATGCTGCTGAATCAGATTTGATAGAAGCTGCAGGACAGACTCAGCCGAACCAGCACACCTACCAGGGGAGCCTCCTCAGCGCCTGGTTTAAGACTCCAAGAACGGTATACGCCGTGGGGCTTAAGACTTCCGATACTCTTTCCGAACTACGAACATGAGTAGTAAGACTAACAGCACTACATGCATATACTTTGATACTGCAGATGCTACTTGAACCTCAACACCACGAATACTGATCTTGCTGCTTACTACCTTTCGTACCAATGCTTCTGGATTATCCAACTGATACTACGAGCACTCCCAAAAACTGTGGCAACCATGTGCGGGCCGTGTGTTCCGTCCGATAGGGGGCATTGATTGAGGTGAGCACTCGACGAGGAGAAGCGAGCACGCGGCGCCCGCCGTGGCTCCGTCTGGACTTAAACTTTATGTTCGATTTCCCCGTCTGCGGCAAGATGAGGTGAAACTCCAATTTGCATGTCCCAGGAACTGCTCGTCCGAGCTCGCAAGCTGCAAGGCAATGTTGGCTCACTGTTCTGATACAAGCTACGGTTGAAGGGCCACTGCAACTTCAATGTCTCGCGGGTGGGCATACCCCACCCCTGCCCCAAGTCCAGCGAACACTGTCACTATCCTCTCCTCCCCTACAGGTTTCATCTGCAGATTCTTTATCATTGATGAAAAACAAGAAAGAGCTCCGCCTGGCGGTTCAGATCCTGTACTGATGACACCGCCACTGTCTCCAACAGCGTGCTGCCATTGATGCCGATGACAGTCACAGAGCTGAGCATGCCATGCATCTGTGCTTGATGTGGATGCTCGGCCGGAACTTGGCTGATTCTGTCACCACAGGCCGGCATCTTCAGGTGCCCTGTGCGAATTCTACAGAGTCGGATCTACAATGACTAGGCTCGCTTTGCTGTTGCTGACATGTCCCACAACATCCCACAACCATTCCGGATTTCCCAAACTGATCACACGTGATTCAGTCTGCTTGCTGCTTGCGGGCATCATGTTCCTGCTCCAAGCGCTGCTGGCGAAATCCGAACCGTGCACGCGAGCAGTCAACATTGCAGCTTTACTGAAGATCATCCCACGTACTTCCGCTTTCGCATTGCAGAGCGAGCCTTGACAGCGTCTTAGGCCCAGACTCCCGAGCCTACAGAGACTGCCAACAGCTTGCCTCAGAAGAACTCTGACGTCTAAAGGCCAAGGTAGCAACCAAAGCACTCCAGCAACATTCCGGCCCAGCGGCCGAAGCGCGGCTTGCGGAAGACGTCGCCGTGGACTAGTTTCCAGCCAGTCTCCTGCTGCTGAGCTTTCACTAATGTTGGGACGGACACCTTGATGTACGTGGCAGTCCTCTGCTGCTTCTTCAGCAGTCGCTAACTCGTTGTACTTGGTGATGTCACCTGAGCTGGACATACAACATTCACTCCGGGCGCCAAATTAACGTAGATGTGCTACCACGGCTTTGCAGGGACAGCTTCTCTCAGTGCTACCGAGGATCGATAAAGAGTTCGAAGCAAAATCATGGCGACCTCGGTAAGCTGCGCCAAGCCCAGATTTTTTCTGCAGCGAAAGAGCGTTTGGACACCGGCCATGCCCGAAAGGAAGAGCATGATCATGAGGGAGTTCCTTCTCGCGACGAGCACTGGAAGCATGAAACCTCCCTGATCTCTCCGCACAGTCATCGAATGAATGACCTGTTATGCGACCAAGAAGCAGGATCGAGAACCAGTGAATCTGGCCCCCAGTCCTGAAGTTTGGCACAGACAGGGACGCGATATCAGTAGAGTCTACCGGTCGCAGCTGTCAAAGCCTCGAAACGGTATAAGCGTTTTCTGATGGCCCGGGCATCTTCAAGTAGTTGTCCCATCTGGACACCCATCGAACTTCGCCTGACCACGAGGTCAATTGAATTCTCATGCCAACCGGGCCGAGGCCAAGCTTTCCAACTGTCCTAGCGTTTCTGAGCGGAGCACTGTAATCCCAAGCTACGTCGTATGAGAAGATGACTTCCTTGGTGAGGAGTCTGGAGAGAACACCCGGGCAGGCGTGAAGCGAGAAGCTGCAGCAGGGGCATTGAACATGTCGAGCTCCATGAGCTGGGCATCGGCTCCCTCCTGCTCGGCTCGCTTGCTGCTTGCGCTGTTACGGGTAGCGGCATGCAAACGTCACAACACCCGGCCTGACAAACGGCCTTCAGGCCTCCAGGCTTGGTGGGATCCGCTTGTGTCGCCTGCACCCAGCGATTCTCAATTTGTCTCTTGCATCTTTTGCATCTTGATGCATCTTGCACGTCTTTCCCCACCTGGACGACGCTCCTTGGCTCAATCTCGAAGCCGACAATCCGGTGACCCTCATAGGTGTCACCTGCACAAACTCAAAGCAATGGCAAGACCTCGTCGCTCCCACAGGGCGTAAGTCGGAGGCTCGAATGGTACTTGAGATCCAACTTTAAGTGGTTGTAGAGGTAGTACCTGCACGAGCCACACGTTCAGATGGCAAACGCTTGCATGTCTTGTGCACCGAAACATTGCTTGTTCTCCTGTCACGATTCTTGCAAGTGACAAGCTTCCTTGTGTCGTGCAGGTGTCAGCGTTGATCGCTGCTGCCTTGCGATGACAACAGAGCGCGCACTTGCCATCCTTCTGAACACCGATCGGAAAGCCGTTCATGTACCTGCAAAGCTTAGAGGGTGTCCTTCCCTCCGAAAAAGCTCACAATAGCAAGCGTCTTCCATCAGCTTTTTGACAAACCCTTCCACGCCACCCCAAAAGTCTGGGTTGTCCTCGAACGCAATCGTCTTTGTGGGGGAGGTGAAGTCTGCGGAAACGGTCTGAGAGACCCCATGGATGAACGCAGCTGAGGGCGTGAAACACAAAGGCACGCGTCAGTCCCTCAACAAGGTCAGCATGCAACTGCACCAGCCAACTCAAGTCTGGACTTCGGCAAAGTATACTCATCTATACCCATCTATCTCATATTACGTACAGCTGGCAACTTGACCTTGCTGAGGGGTGTGCTGTGCATTAACATATCCAGCCAACTGGCAGTGTCGGGAGGCGGGAGGTCCTGGCGGTGAGCGCCGGCTCTAGCCCCCACGGAATTCTGTGTCAGGTCCGCTGTTTCACAGCGGACCTTCGCAAACCAGGAGGGGCTTGTGGAGAGCGCGAGTCATGAGTCATTCTGAATGCAGGAGCCTGCATCTTGCACGTTCTTTCGTGTTCTTGCATCTTGAAGGGCGATTGCCAAGTCAGGGCTTGGCTTTGGTTTGCTTAGCCGGTGCGTCTTCGGCCACAAACATCCCCAGTCTGCGTGGTTCTACGAGTCCATCAGCGACAAGCAGAATGTACAAGGCAGGGTTTCTGACAAGAAGCATCTGGCCGTGGCCTATTCTGTCATGCCTGTCGCTGACACTATGATCCGACATGGCATGAGCCTGTCGGCTGTCGGCTGCGAATCAACCGTCCATGTCTCCATTAACCTGACCAGCTATCTGCGACTTGATATCCCGTAGCCGTGCATCGATGCGCCTCGGGCACAGGGTCGTCACCAAAACAACAAGAAGCGGCAATGCTGCTGTTTGCTGCTCGGAGGCTTCATCCGACGCTTCGTTTTCTGGGCTTCCTTCTTGACATCGTAAACCTCGACCAGATGTGCGACTCAGAATGGGATATGTTTGGTTGTTCGCAGGCAAATGTCCGCAGCACAGTATCCGAATCACAAGTTCTTGGTAAAGGACTCTGACTCTAAGTACAGATTGACATGTGACCAGTCTCCACTAGCGCATACACCAGGAAAACCTCCTTTCCGATCTACGACTTCGCGCATAATTGATTCAAGCAGCAATGCCCTTGACGTCGATTGCCTTGGCCGGGCCCTTCATTGTCAAGAGCCCTGTTGTGAACTCCTGCCGCTCTTGCGTGGGCTCAGAAACGCAAGCACACATTCTGACAAAAGCTCCTCCAGGGTGACGGAGCCGTCCTGCGAGAAGCTTCGAGGCAGCCAGAAGGTGCGAAGTTGGAGCTGCTTGGGGCCTATCTGCAAGAAACACACGCAGTCCTTGTTGGAGTCGATGAGGCGGAAGATCTGGGAGCGGTAAAGTCTTTCAGAGGCTGGGAATAGTTTGACGACTGAAACTAGAGCTGCCTCAAAATTCCAGACTCGGTTGGCTGTGTCAGGCTTTCAAGTAGGGTGCACCGGGAAGGGAGCTAACATGTGCCGTGAGTGCGTGAGTGAGTGAGCGAGTGAGTGAGTGCGTGCGTGGGTCAGTGAGCAACCTCTGCGGGAGCAGGGCCATGCCTAAGGCGCCATCCCTCCCGGCTTCACAGGGGGCTTCGAAACCCAGCACGACAACTCTGACATGGCCAGATGTCAACCAGAACGTTGCGAAGATTGCTGACGTGCAAGAGTTCGGGTTCGCCGAGCATGACAGCTGCAAAACAAAAGAGTGCATGCATCATGGAAACTTGCGTGCTGAGCTTGGTGTCCTGCCTGCCATGCATTGTCCGGATCCACATTGAGATGCGACAAATATGCCTGCCTCAATCAATGAAAAGTTTAAGCTTGACCTTCGTGTTCATCTGCAGCATGGAATGTCATGGGTCAGCGCAACAGATGTCTTAATGCTCCAGGCTGCAGGTGCTCATCTTGCATGAAGTTCTCGAACTCCTTGCAATAAGCTGCATTCTTGCATCGCAGGAAAATGGAAATCATGATTAGATGCACACATAGGAGCCAAGTAGCTGCGAATGTCACATCACACATACATAATCTAGTGCTCTAGACTTACCGGCGAGGCGCTGTGTAGGAGATTTCTCCGCTTTCATCACAGTCACCTTCTTCGAAGATCTGCCTGCTACGAGACACCCAAAAAAGAAGCAACCCTTAAAAAGATACTTGCTGGAAGATGACGACGTCAGGCAGCTCTGCTGACAGCTAGCGGCTAGCGAAACACTGGCAAGAAACAACCCTGTCGAATTATGATCACATTGCTGGCGCAGCTGCTCTGCCTACGACTACGAATTGGCCAAGCCAATGTCCTGTGCCCTGGAGGGCGATTGATGGCCTAGCTCCCCACCAGACCCGATTCAAGTTGTCGATTCTCGCTTGTAGTGTCCAGCGGAACACCGCCGCGGCGGATGCATCAAAGCTTACACTGCACTGAGGGACCGCTGCCTGAAGTGCTCCAAATACCTTATCTCCACCAGCACACGCTTCGTCGTTTCTCATACATCCGAAAGCTGATGAGGGCTGTAGATCCCGACACTCTGCTCAACACACATAAGACTCATAAGACATAAGACTATGCATTGCCGAAGCACTGATTCTTCCTCCGAAGCTGCTCCTGTGCACATCACAGTTGAGTAAGAAAAAAAAGCTTGCGCCCGGCACGTTACTGCTGCTCGCTAGTTCTAGTTTGTTGCTTGTCGGTGACATGTTGGAATTCACGGGTGGTTGTGCAGATGTCTGAACTACTGCCGCAGCAAACAATGAACGGCCCCATGTCTCATATACACCAATGCACGGCAGCAGCGAAGGGCGCACCTGGATCAACGAATCTTTCTCGGAACGGGCCATCTCGAAGGCGTGCTCGCAGAAAAAACCTGTAACAACCTCGGCAGACTAACTAACTTTGTTCCGGTGCCGG